CCTAAGGCGAGTAACTTCAGCGCATTTTCCATGCATTTATCTGTCCTCCCCAAAAGGTGATAGTTATGTGCGCTATATTTTTCTTTACAAGACGGAGGGACCGAGAAAGTGGCTGCAATAAGCACACCCAACGTTAGAAACTGGCCTGGGATGAAAAATTTTGATGGAGGATCTTAGAGGATACCCATGAATCTTTGCTTCAAGAAGAATTTTTTGACTGATTAATTGGTTGGGTCTAGTACCTAATTTTTTATCTTGGACCTTTTGTCAAAAATTGTAGAACGTGAAATTTCCTTCAGTGTTCACTGGTCAAACTTATTTTTTAGCCCATAGATACCGAGATACATCGAACATTTTCCAAACACGTAAAAAAATTACCTTGCGATAAGCACACGGTAAGCTCAGGCAGAGTCCTGGACAGAGTAGAGGTGGATAGGGGTGAATAATGGGGTTATCGTGCACTAGCCAATAATCAAGAATCATGAACCTTCTGAAGTTTCATAGCATGCTTATAATACTACTAAAGAAGATGCGTGAGAATTTTAGATTGGAATTAACAAATGAGCATTGTTAAGTCAAACCTACCGATGGCGGCCGAGTACGGTACAATCGTAACTTGATGCGACACCGTTGCCTTTTGGCATTCAACGAAACTCTGAAACTTTGGACCCATATTCGAACATAATTTCCAATGATAAAAAACGTTACGATGGCAAATAAAGAACTGCATTATCCCTCATTCCTTGTCACAGGTTGCTTTTTGCTTTTTCCAAATTTGCATCATAGAATCGGTGGAACTTTCATTTAAATGGGCTCTTTGAAATAGTCGCATTAGTTTCCCGAACAATAAATTTAGATCGTCGTTGAACACCTTCTTTACACAAAGTTGTCTTCGTGTCAAGCTGAGTTGCATTCACGTCGAGATGCCAGAGCAGAAAAGGATGTAGAAATTAGTCTCTTTTGCGCCAGGGTTCATTCCAATGTCCACAAAATGGTACCACAGTTTACATGAATACACGTTGGTTTATGGACCATTTTACGTAGTACATATACAGGGCACAGATTAACTACAATAATCTGTGTACAGGGTCACCTTTTCCCCAAGTAAATTGGGGACCCAAAAAAAGCTGTGACGACCTCTTCGTTGCCGGTTTGGAATCATTATTTCATATTGAAATAGAGATACCTCTCCAAATTTAAATGAACTTTTTCTAGTAACCTTATTCAGGCATGAGCAATCTTGGGTATAGGAATTTTTACAAATTCGGAAAAAGTATACCCAGAAATCTAGGCAAACTTTGGAAAGTGTTGGTCGTGTAGCTCCCAAACAAATCGTGGTAGACCCTCGGTTACGCCCTGTATACATATTTTGCCCTTTATCTCGATGAAGACTATTTAACTTTTTTGATAGATAGATATTTCCCTTAAAAATAAAAATTAAAGATCAGAACATGTTCATGTTCATAAGTTAGCATAAGATTTCTTTTCGTTTAGCAAGTGAGATGCAGGACTGACCTCTAACGAACAATATACGGAATAATGCAAAAACAACGCGAAAGTTTACTCTGTACATCCACTCTTAAATTGAAATTCGACGTATCGAAGCGTAATGTGAACAGATATTTGTGCTAATTGTGCCTTTGGAAAGCTCTTATTGGATTCATTTTGGAGTTTAAGTGGGAATGGATAAATAATGAAATACATAATTCATTAACAGGGTTTTATAATTAAGCGTTTATTTATGCACCCGCATTAGAACAGCTGGTAACCGAAAATAAACAATTACTCAAAATTTGAATGATTTTTCGAATGTATGTTTTTGCGATTCTAACTGGGGGTTTGTCACCAGGGGATAAGCTTCTGATCCGTCTGCGACATCCTTCTCTCATCAGTCTTAGCGTACATTACATTACCGCTTGGATTTTGCATCGATCACCTTCGAAGGGAATAGAATAAAATGCGAAACCATTTCGGGAAAAGTGCAGGATGTTACTATTTGACAAGTAGCAGCTTCGCAATTGTAAACGAACTAGTTAGGGATTCGGTTGTTAATTAATTTATAAATCGATTCCGACAAAAGGCAAACCATCAATTGTACTTTAATTAATTAGTTAAACTTGGTAGTCAATGAGGACGCAATTATTTCTAGTCTAGACATTTTAGCTAACCTCGCTGATATAGCGAAATATTCAAAAATGTTCATATTCGAGTTAATTAAACCCGGCAATGTTATGTAATTTTACTACGTAACCGTTCTAAATTCAACGGTACAAAACGTGATCAAATTCTAACAGTGTGTTTTTAGAACAGAGACGATGGGGAGGCTACTCTATCGGGTTGTTGCGTTGTGAGGACGGGCCAGACTCCCAGAGCTTACGGTCCCATGCGGGTGAGTTGTCTTCATCAGCTTGTCTGCTGCATTAGCGGTTCCGAGGATATTGTGCTCCTCCAGTTTCGCGTACAACATCCCTCTTCCCTACGCCATTCCATCTCCATTTACGGAGACACTCGCGCAGAGGGACAAATCGAACATTACGAGAATGATAGGGTACGGACACGCAAATGTGTAGTTACAGCCGAAGACATCACTCCCTATCGTCGGATACATTAACGAATCTCTTGACACTGACACAGGTACATTTATGCCTCGAATATTGTTCCTCGAACTTTTATACGCATTTTCACACATCGGGGTAGATTATATAGCACATTAAGGGTTGATACGCTCCGTGATCTTTATACACGCAACACAAAAAGGTTTAATGCATTAAGTTCATAATGCCTCTCGTTTAGCTGACCGATTAGAATTCGACTCTATAATGTAATTAATAAAGATAACTCGAACGTGTTCAATATCCAATCGGGATCGCAGTGGAGAGAAATACATTAACAGTCCTAACTAGTATTGAAAACGCTTTCAACAGTTTTACACCATTTTACCTACTACGCCCACTAAAAGATCAACCCAGGGATGACTGGCACCACAATTTCTGTTAAACCTCAGTTCAGTTCATTGGTCAAAATTCAAAATTTGTCTTGTGTCATGTTCCCGTACTCTTGCGACCTCTTTCCTCTTGAAAAATGAACACTCATAGACGCACTACGTGTTTTTTCCACAACCTCAAGGGAAAAAGGCGTTTCTTCATTGAATCTGAACTAACGTAAAAATATGCGAGCAATTAACGCCCTACCTTGCTTTAATTTCCCCGCATGAACCTAATTTAAAATCAAAATAAACAACTCCTAAAGAGGCTCCGGATATAATCGGTTGATGCAATTTTCGTGAATTACCCATTCTCTAATTAATTAATCAAGAGTATCCATCTTTACAATAATGCCAGGAACTTTTTCTATAGTTGTTTAGTTCGATCATCTCCAACCTTTTCGATTTCTTTCATATTGTGTGAACTACGCAGCTAGTCCCAAATATTCCATTTGGAACCGTTTACCATATCATCACGTAGAACGTAAAGATATCAAAAGTGCGCACTTTGAGAACCAAAAGGAGTTAAAAGCTGTTCAATAAAAATATTTGAATTTTCCCTCAATTTCAATCAGAATTTCTTCTTATTTTTTAAAATGTTAGCAAAGTGAGGGCATTTGCTGCGGGTAATTGTGTTAGAAAAATTTGTATTCGTATGTACAGGTACACAATGAGTCTTTAACATGGGGCCTGGAGATAGAGGGACGATTAAACGCGGAAATCGAAGAGATTTATGGTTAACTATAGAAAATACAACTCAGAAAGCAAGTAGAGTACCTACTGGTACACGATCGGTAGAAGAGCTTAGTCAGCTGCAGATAGAACGTTGAGCGCTCGATAAAGGGCTAAGACGCTTCCAAAAGGATCTAGAGCGCTTTGGGGACCAATTCCGGCCAACAAAGCGCGCGAAGTGGGACAATACCAACACTATATTGTTTTCAGATCCTTTTATATTGTTGTTATAAACGAGGTTTATAACATAAAAAGAATTACAGCCTTAGACGAGTAACTTTAGGGCATTTTCCATGCAGTGATCAGTACTTTCTAAAAGGCCATAAGCATAACTGTGTAAGCTATGTTTTTCTTTACTAGAAGCATGCATAAAATATCTCCATAAATAAGAATGATGTTTTACTACAGCGGAGATATTAAAGGGAAGAGTGAAGTGGGCATTTTGGTCAATGAAGGAGTAGCGAAAAGTATGGAGAAAGTATTGTGTGAAGAAGATAAGAGAATTATAGCAGCAAGATTAAGTACTACTCCAAAAAGTCTTCTTGTGGTACAAGTGCATATGAAGATAGTGAAATAGAGGAAATGTACGAGAAAATAGAGTATGTGATGAAGAAAGAAGGGAGCTGTTGTTGCAAAATAGTATTGGAGAAGGTGTCCGACATTTGGACAGAGTCGTTGGAGATTATGAATTGGGAGCAAGGAATGAGTAAGGGGTGTACGTCTTAAAAGGAAACTTTACACCTAGAAATCCCCTGGAGACAGACATCACAAGGAGATTAGATTGCATCATGATTGAAGAGAGATACAGAAATGGGTTAAAAATGGTTATGGCAGAGTTGTAAATACAATTGAAAAGGATGAAAGTTGCAAAAAGGGGAAACGAATGGGCTCTGATAAAATTAAAGGATATGGATAAAGAATATATAGGAAGAGCAATGGGAATTGAAATGAAAAAGAAGGTTGCAATGAAGAGTCATGAAACTACCGAATGGAAATAGAAGATCATGAAGAATACGATAATCAAAGTGGCGAGTTGTGGAGGTGGGATCAGCGGCGTAGCGTCAGTGATTTTGACCCGGTGCGGAAGTAAGATTTTGCCGCCCCTCGTCTCAAGGATTTCTTGGAATTTTGTCTTAAGGTTATATTACGTAACATTACAATTTAATTATTAATAGTGCACGGAAATAATATGTCAGAAATAAATATTTATTTATTTCAAGAAACAAACTTTAGAGTATTACGTACCAGTACAAGTCATCATAATTACAAACGTTAACGTTTAAAACTAAATATTAATTCTTCTGGCTTTTCTTGCTGCGAATTCCTTAATAAGGTCGTCAAAGTCAATTTCATTTGTCAACTTTCTTTCAATTGACAAAATCGCTAAATTTCGCAAGCGCAAAGAAGACATTTGCGAACGAAGGTAATTTTTAATAAGCTTCAGCTTAGAAAAACTCCTTTCACACGATGCAACACTAACAGCAAAAGACAGGAAAATTTTCAGCATGATAACAATGTTCGGCACGGAAATTTCACGTTGATAACGTTGGATAAACTTCAAAAGACTTAAAGGATCACTTGAAAACGTTTCAACTTTGTGATTAGCAGCGTTGCAAAAATTTCGAAGGCGGTCACGCTCTACATTGAAGTCTTCCCTGTTCACATCATCGGGAAGCTCAAAATCAAAATTGTCTTCTTTCTGCGGGTCCAGCAGCGATTCCGGAAAAAGAAAGCTGTACTTTTGTCGAATTTCGTCCAACTGCTGAAATCGAGTCGTTATTTCTTCAATAATTCTATCAACAGCTCCGTACATTTCTCGACTAAGCTCTTGTGCTGGGGTGAGCGAAACGCCCTCGGATCCGTCTCCGTGAATCTGCTTTCTCTTTTTTGTACGTTTAGAAGTAACGCTTATATCGAGCTTTTCACACATCAAGGTTGCATATTCGGCGGCTTTGGTAACGATTTTCTCCCTGTTTGTCTCTAAGTAAATTTTTAAAGCTGCAACTTTTTCAGCACAATTTTTAACGTTTAGACCTTGTCTTTGCAAGTATTTTTGAGTATCATTTATTTCTGAAAGAACAGTACTCCAAAGGCTGAGATACCCGAGAAACGAAAAAGTTCGAAGGGAGCAAAGCAATATTCCAGCATCTGAACGAGTCTTGGCGTTTTCATTGTGGTTTTCGTTCAACTTTTCCAGTACCTCCAGAATTTCTTCAAAATGATTTTTTATCACTGCAACAGCGTCGTGTCGAGAACTCCAGCGTGTGTCAACGAGCCTCTTTACACCTTGTTTTGTCACTTGAAGTAAAGCATCCCAACGCTGTGTCGATGACGAAAAATATACAAATATACGTTCTAGTGTTCCGAAAAAAGTAACGGAACTTGCCGAAACAGATGCTGCATGAACGCCAGCAAGATTCAAACTGTGGTTCGAGCAAGGAATGAACGTTGCTTTAGGATTAATCTCCCGGATTTTAGATTGTACTCCGTTGCGAATACCGGCCATTGTAGCAGCGTTATCGTAAGCTTGGCCACGGCAGTTCTGAATATCTAAACCGTCAGTTTCCAATTTCTTTAAGATCATCGATGAAATTTGTTCAGCAGTTTTTACCGTCGTAAGCGTAACGTTCAACTAAAAGATTTAAACTGATGCGCGCTCCAGTACCAGATTCGATGCTGTACGCTGTACTGAAATGTGAAATGAAATAATACTCGATGGCTGCAAATGCAAATTGTTTTTGCGCATTGCGCAGTCGCGTTTAAGGGGCGGCAATTTTAGAATTGTTGAGTTTGTTTTTGCCGCCTTTGAAGACATGCCGCCCGGTGCGGGCCGCACCCCCCGCACTCCCATCGCTACGCCGCTGGGTGGGATGTCACCTAAAATCCTGCCAACTGGCAGACAGCTCAAAAATAATAAGAAAATTAGCATTGCGCAGTCTGTGCGTGCGCATACCTAATATAGAAATGAGCTCATGGAAATATCCTGAAATAATAATAATAATAATAATAATAATAATAATAATAATAATAATAATAATAATAATAATAATAAATATAATATCGGCATGCACACGACTTGCACAAACTGAATACAAACATCGACACGATCAGGTAGCTAAAATCATACATCAAAAATTAGCACTTAAACACAATCTCATAACAGATAAGACACCATACTACAAATACACGCCACAGATCATACTTGAAAACAACACACACAAATTATATTGGGACAGGACACTACTCACAGACAAAACTATCCACAATAATAGACCAGATATTACACTTATTGATAAAACGCAAAAATCCATTTGTATTATAGACATTGCCATACCCAACACTAACAACTTAACTAAAACACATGCAGAAAAACACCGCAAATACACCGATATAGCTATCGAGCTTAAGACGCAATGGAGAATGAAATCTACTGTTATAGTTCCCATTATTCTTAGTGCTACTGGAGTTATACCAAAGACAATACACCACAATTTACAACTATTAGGTTTAGACAAAAACACATACAAACATTTACAAAAAGCAGTCATTATCAACACATGCCATATTGTTCGTAAATTTCTAAACATAACACAAGATACTACATACAGAAATGATCCACAACGTATACATGTAAACAACAGTACTCGCTCACAACACGGTACACAACATACTGTAATATCTCCACCTCTAACCCAAACAAACACACAAATACAACTTACCGAACAAACAAGTACAACAAATGATACAACATATACTACAATCAGAGATTCACCTCTGAAGCAAACCACATTATCACGACCCATTAGTATTCAACCCAAACGCAAAAGCCTAAACAGCACTTTAGACTCACAACATGACACACAACCTACTGTAATATCTCCACCCTTAACTCAACCAACCACACAAACACAACTTCCTGAACAAACAAACGCAATAAATACAAGTAACGCAACACGCACTACAAAGACGCCCTCCCCCACACGGCCTAGCACAGCTAAAAAACACAATACTCTTTCTTCTCAGAAACACACCACGT